CAGATCTCAGAGGCGAATCGATCGGTAGTTACCGACCGATTCGCCTCTGAGATCTGTTACTGGGTTGAGATACCGATACGCCTGAAGTCAAAGACCTGCACTTCAGTCGCGAAGCCAGTCGCCATCTATGGAGCCGAGACTAAACAGATGACGGCCGAGGAAACAAGAGCCTACGGTGTTATGGAGATGAGAATGTTACGATGGAGTCTGGGACACTCGACCGAATCCGCAACGAAACAGTCCGAGACAGGATGAAGGTCCAGCCGATTGCCAACTCCCTTGCCGCAGCTCGTCTCCGCTGGTATGGTCACGTTCAACGAAGACCTCCTGATGCTGTATCGAAGTCCGCTGATAAGATCGTCTTTGCCGGTAAACGTCCAAAAGGCCGACCTAGAATGCGGTGGAAAGACAACCTGAATATGGACATGACTGCTGCTGGCCTGTCCGCAGCCGATTCTATTTACAGGGACCGTTGGAAAGCGTTGGTCAAAGAAGCGTACCCGACAACAGTTGGACAAGAACGCTATGAAGAAGAGGAAGAAGACACTAATGCAGACCCACCCAAAGAACCAAACAAATACCCCTCTCCATGACGAATATTTGATCCTTCCATCCAACCGCTGTTATTAACATGCGACCCGTCGTGAGTATTCCATAGCGATCTTCTGGCTTCCGTTGGGACAGCACTGTTGACAACGTGCTCGATCTGTTTATTTAATGAATGTGGACGAAAAGGCATCAAAAATGAGTTCAGGTGAACCCAGTGGCAATCACAAATTCAACCCCAGACCACATCTTGAACAGTTAACCCAAAATGGGCTCTGTTCGGCTTGGTAGGGGCATTTTGTCATCAATCACTGACGGTGCCTTCGGTGGAGGCCTGTAAACTACTGTAATGCTAAGCAATACCAGGAGTTCCGTTTACTCATGACGAGACTTTTTAGGTTGGCCAATGCGTGACGTGTAATTTGATAGTAGCTGACAAAAGAAACTACATAAAAGCAGAATCCCCTTCTCGAACCGAACAGTGCCTAAAAATGTTCCCTTACTGGCCGAATGATTTGGCTCTTCCGGGATTAGAGCCCGAGTCTTACGCTTCACAGGTAAGCTACTACTGCTACTGCTAGCTATGCTGGAAGGTCAAGACGAGGCCTAGCTGTAGCACACTTACCCTGCTACGATGAAACTCGAGAGTTCAAAGAGATGAGAATTTTCAGTATGAATACAAAAGGGTAAGCATAGCATCGAAGCCATCGCCGCGGACAAACTTTTCTCGCTCTCCGCCATGCATTGAACACCCGATCAGATGTTCAGATTAGGTAGCAGATGGGAGGCATTTGAAAGATCCTCGTGCAAAAGTGAGACTAACTCCATCCAACTGAGAAACCATCCTTTAAATTGCTTCAACTGTCGTGGAGCCCTCTTCCCTCAGACCAAAGGATGCTTACCTAGTAAAGCTGAGCCACGCGTCAGCGTTTCTGCGTCCTTTCCCCTTGCCCAGATTTGGGAGCGGTGGGAGGAGTGCACTTATTTTGGAGCTCTTTGCAAAGACAGAGTGAGACATGCCTTAGCACACGTCCTTCTGCGGAAAACAGCAAACCGTCGCGAAACACCTCAAGAAAAACGTGCATCCCTCCAAAATCCTTTGTTCTTGCACGTAGGTTAAATGAGTCTGCACGAGCCAGCAAGCGAGCCTCCGAGCCAAAGTGCACGGGAAGAGGCAGGGTCGTCGAGTTGGTATTCGGCCGGCCCTGCTCTAATAGCAGCGCCCGCGACGCGAGCCGACCACGAGGTGTTGGAACTAAACCCCTGGCGATTTTTAAGTTTTCACCACCATGCCTTTTTGACGATTGTTATACCCCTGCGACGGCGCAGCGCCTCTGTTCAGCCTCCTCCACTTATTAGGAGGGAACCTTCTATCAGTACTTTGAGCATAAATCTTATCGAAGATTTACTTTGAGCATAAATCTTACCGAACGTTTTTTTCGTAGTTACACTCGGATTTCCCGTATGTAGTCATTCTCCTTTGAAGGTTTACCGCACATTTTTTTGACAGTGGAATACTACCTGAAACTGTTTGGAGTTTTTTTTCATGGAACCATTTGACAATCATATTCGTAGGGTGAATCAGTTGTTCGCCTGATTTTGAAAGATGCCAAGCGTCGCAATGCGCTTTCACTGGAGATGATTGAAGAACTGACCAAGGAACTGGAAGGAATAAACTCAATTTCTAAGGTGATCACACCATGATCACAAACTTTAACCGCTTGATTGTCGTTGTACTGAACGAGATATTTCTTTTCAGGTGAGGTCGGTTATAATATCATCGGAGGGTCCAGCTTTTTCCTCTGGTCATGATTTGCGTGAGCTGGTGAGTGGCATTTGGTGCCAATCTTTTCATCTCTTCAGAACGATTTACCATGTTTTCGAGAGCTGAAGCAGGACATAGTCTTCACCAAAAGATTTTCGATCGATGCAGCAATCTCATGACGTTCATGCGGTCAATGGAGGTTCCCATAATCGCGGAAGTGAGTTGCGTTAACTACCATGTTTCTAATAAAGCTATAATTCCGCTTACATTAACATTAATTTCCCTTTTCTATTATAATGTTTCTTTCTTTGTCTCTTTACGGGCGAGAAGTAGATTTCTAGTGTGGCTGCCAACTACGGCTTCGTTCAGACTTCGCGATGATATGCGACGCGCTACGATCGAGTAGTGTTCCAAGTAGAGGAGGAATTCCTATTCATCTATATTTTCCAAAACACTAGCAACAGGCGCCCATCGATGAGTGTTTTCCCGTCCCTAGTATTTGGGACATTTGCAATGGTAGCCCGTCGACGCGCGTCACCTTGAAGTCTGAACGGAACGTAAGGCGGTTACGCTGAGATTAGATATTCCGCGTTTATACTATGCGTCGTTTGCCCAAAGAAACAAAAACGGGTTGGCGCCATGCCAGACGCTCGGCGTGCCTTATAATCCGCATCGAACTAGACTATAACCTCAGTTTTATCAAAGGTTGTCGCTGACTCATTAGTTCTACCAGTTTTTTTTGAATTCATGGATATGGATATGCGATACTCGTGTGAGTGTATGTAAACTTATTACTGTTCTCGTCATATGATTGGCTGCTAGAAGTTGTCACATTCAACCTGGTGGGCCCTTTGGCATCTGTAGTTGAAACTCTTCATTTCAGGTGCGTGGTATAGCCGCTGCTGCTGGTTGTCAACTGGTGGCATCGTGTGACATTGTCGTAGCAGCCGACAATTCCAAATTCATGGTTCCTGGGTTAGTCATTGTTTGATTTGCTCTCAACGTTTCTAGGGAAATAGCTTCCTTTACCACATTATTCTTGAACGGTTTCCAGCTCGATCGATGAGTAGAGGAATTATGTTGTCTTGCTTCATTTGAATATTTGCCATGAAATTGTCTGCATCTTGGAATTAATCGTTGAAAAACATCATGTTCCATCAGAGAGTGAAGCTTAAATTGTTTAGGCAGAAGGTCGGATTGTTTTGCTCAACACCAGGAATCGCGCTGGCTCGTGCTGTTCCTCAAAAGGTGGCCATGGACATGCTTCTCACCGCTGAACCAATCGATGCTCAGAGTGAGTGCGCTATTTCGCCTTTTCTCGTTTTGGTAATTGTCAATGAACAGGGGCTCATGCTTTTACCCAATATGCGGTCGAGTCGCGCGCACCTCCCGCCTGCAAACAAACTGTCCTATGTCTGTCCTTACCTAATCTGTGCCAGAAAAGCTCTGTCTCGGACAGCTTCTGTCAAATTCTCTTTAGATTCTTAAGCGCTTTGCATTTCTACTGCAGTTCTACTGGCAGTAATCACTGATTTGAGTTCCTCAGAGCTTGACAGTATGAAAAGATCGCTGAATTTCAGTTGTTTCATCAAGAGCAAGAAAAACCCAGTTTTGTCAGCTCACAGAATGGATAAGATAGAGCTAGAGAAGTTCGAAAACAGAAGGCTTCATATTTTCTGATCTTCCAGCCGCTCTTCGATGTGGTTTGGTTTCGCGCATCGTACCAGAGAAGGAAGTGAAATTTGAAGCGCTGAAGGTCGCCGAGCAGATTGGTCAACATAGCCGTTCAGTCACAGCTCTTGGAAAGGCATTTTTCTACACGCAAACTGAACTTAGGGTGAACGAAGCATACAGGTTCGTCTTCAAATTGCGTGAATGTTTGTTGAGTGGGGACATTCAGGTTTTCCTTGTTTTTTTTTTCCAAAAGAAATCCGTAAGAAGTCGAATTGGAAAAAAGGTGAGAGGCAGACAAACTCTACTGCTATAGTGACTGTCACGGGAGACCTTGTTGCAAAGGTTCAACATTTTCACAAGATTTCACGCCGTTTTTCTAGCTTTATTGTGTTTTCCAAGTTTTCAACTGTTCAGCGTTATACTGTTGCAAGATATGCAAACCTGCGGAGTAGTTCAGTTACTTTATTCTGATCGGTATTTTCATATTTCGTCAAGTTATTCTATCCGAAAATGTGATGCATGGAAACGAGGCGCTGGAAACGCGTTGACTCGGTCCGAATAGTGGAATGTCGTGGGTCGAAACGCTTGTTTATCATGAGATATAGGCAGTTTTGACCTTTTTGATAGTGTTTCTGAAATTTGATGTGGGATGTTATGTGCAAACGTTCCGTGAAACAGTCTTATAAGGGATTAGAACGCATTTATGATTTGCATCAGGGTTTTGAGAGAGTAGTGGAGAGTCTTGAGAGTTTTGTGTGACTGGGAAAGGGGTATGTGACAAAAGTATCGCAATTTAGACGTCGGACGCGACGCCCGTCCCTAGGAGGCGTCGCGTCCGACGTCGCGCCCGCAAATGACGATGGTTCAGGTAGTAGATGGCGACAACAGGCAATTCAGAACCGAAAATAGTCATGAATGTCTACGATGGGGTCTACATGAAGTCCGGTGCTCCAATCGACAGGTTAACACGAGTTGAGAAAACGCCGCACCCATCGCCGCGCGCGGCGGAGCGGCAAATTACGATTCTCTCGCCCTAGGTAAGTATGGATATCGCTCCATATTCCGGGCGTACACTGGCATGCGCTGGAGTACGTTCGAAACGCAAACTTTCACTTCGATCTGTCAGTGGGAATTGTAGCGATGACAAGGTTAGGGGAGAATGTTGGTAGAAATGGTGTGTGAAATTTGAGTCGGATAGCTTTTGTGAACATTGCTGGAATTCGAAATAGAGCATGTGACGTTCACTGGAAGTTGCTTGTGAACTGACCTTGATAGGACCACTTTGCTGGAAGAAATTAAATATTCTCAGGGAACGTAATGCTGTAACGCTTTCAGATATGGTGGAAAAGTAATGACGGAAAACCTCAAACTGAAGGATGCTCAAGAGGGAATAAAGGCGTTCACCGAAAAACGGAAGGCAGCCTTCACTCACTCGGATGAAAAATGTCAATAAGCGCTCTGCAAGGTTTCTGCGGGTTTCAAATGCTCAACTTGTTATAGGCTTATTAGGGTTGTGGTAAAGAGATTGGTATGTCGTTACATCGAAACAGTACGGCCGCATCAGAATTAGCATTGTCGTGACGTGCAGTCATCATCCCTGTAAACGGATAGGGCATGACGGAGGCGCGGCTTAGAGTGCAGCTAGAGCAGATTTCCCACCAATTATAGCGGGCTCAGAGTGGCATCATTGGTTAAAAAAGGCCGCCCTGGCTGCGCTCATCCACTTCGCTTCACGCGTCCTTGCAGGGATCATGACTGTATGTCAGTGATTCGACGTCGTATCACAGCTAACAGAAACGTGGGAATTTGACGAAGCTCCTCTTTAATTTCCTATAATACTAAAATCTAAATCTAATTCTTCAAGAACTTCTCTTTAATTTCCTTTCTTTTTTCCGCCGTCTAAGAGTCAATTAGTCTGGAAAAGCCGAGGATTGCTAGAAAGAGTTGCTCATGGGTCCTACTTCATTTTAGTCCACCTGATTATGAGTATAAGACCGGTCAGTATAAGAATTGGCGTTTTTGCTCAGGTGGTCATAAGTGTAATTTCAAACCTGAGCACATAGTTTGGCTGATCGCAAGTTTCGTTTTGTCGTAAGGACATAAGATCAGTTACCACCACTCTATGTGTGTTAGAACAGAACTTTACGAGGAGAAGTGCCATTATAAATGACAGTTTTGTGTTCGATAAATGGTTGTGGTAACTAGTATACTTGTAATGTCTACTGGTGGCTTTCATTTATAGAAATCAAACACATGGAAAAAGAATGAGGAAAATTTATGTCTTGAAGATGTTTTATATTGATTTTAATAAATAAATGCATTTTGTATACCAGTGACTGTGACGCATGACGCAGGAGGTGACATTGGTCCGGTTTTACCCTTTTAGGAGGACTTATGTTAACGAGATCATCATATATAAATAAATATATGAACGATGAATAGACATTCCTAAGTGTGCGGCATATTCGGTTGCAATACATTGCGGCAGCGTCCACCAGCAATAGCGTTCCGAGCGTTCAGCAGCGTCAGCGACTAGTAAGGTATGGATCCTGGTCTAGCGTCCACCAGCGTCTCAGGGGCTAGAGAAGTATAGCTATCGATATAGCGTCTGTTAGCGTCTACCAGCATTCACCAGCGGTAGGGAGTAGAGCGTATGGGGAAGGAGGAGGGCAGCAAACAGCTGGATTAGGCGTTTTGAAATTGCGGCGTGTGCAACCGCACCGCACAAAAGCACAGAATTATAGAATTTAATGTATGGTGTAGTGCAGCTGTTCTTTACGTAGCACACGACAATTCTCCAGCTATTTGCTGCCCTCCTACTTCCAAACTTTCTACTCACGGTCGCTGGTGAACGCTGGTAAAAGCTAGATCGATATCTACGGGGAGCAGGCCAAAGAAAGGCACTTCGCTCGAGATACATATCAGTAAAGAATACGCAGTCAGAGAGAAGGACAACGGATACGAGTGCCAAGCGGGAAATATCATCGACTTTCTTCGATAAGTAGAAGTAGGCTCTCGTCCATCACCTTCATGTACACCAAAATATGAAGCCATCTGTAATCGCAGCCGAACTGAAGAAGGCCTATGGAATTCACGTCACCTCCAAACAGCTGCGAAACTTCTTGTATGGAGTCACCCATGGATAGCTACCTGGAGACCAGCACTCTTGATCTGGAAGACCTCCAACATCGAGCAGCTCCGACGTCGCTACGGTCCAGGACATCATCTTCACCGCAGTCGCCAAGGCGCGGGTTGATGGTATGGACCGGAAGTTCTTTGAATGGTAAGAGCGATATTCTCTTCAAGGACCCCGGACTGGAGGTGAACTCTGACTGTTACATCGAACAGCTCTAGGATTCTGCCCTCATGCCGTCGCCTGTACCGTCTTGGAAATTTCGTACTGCGACAGGGCGCTGTTTGTCGACGGGGGGGGCATTTTGTATTATCATTGCTTCCCTAGTTCCGGTTTACAAATCTCACTCTGGTAAAACCTGTGAACTCTTGTGAAGCTGAACTAAGATCGTCTAGCCACTATCCTAAAACGTGTCAACTCGAGAAACGGCTGCCTAGATGGGTCGACACATCTATGGAAAGCAAAATGCCCCCCCCCTCCCCGTCGACAAACTGCGCCCTGCTACAGACTGGTGCCATCACGTGGAATCGAAGGGCGTTGGAAAAACTCTCGCCTACTTGGAATCGAAGGGCGTTGAGTACCTGAAGAAGACGGAATATCCAAGTGTGTCACCTGACCTAAACCCCTCGATTACCGGGTCTGGGAGGAGCTCAACGGGTGGTCTACAGTGGCGGAGAAATCAACGACCTCGCTGAACTTAGGCACCGAATCACGGTCGCGAGGCAGAATCTTGCGTGGCGTTCGTCCAGAAGGCTGTGGTGTAGATTTGTGATCGTGTATAGTATGTTGTTGAATTCGATGGTGAAAATGTCTAATCAGAACTTGGTGAAGGGCACATGAACTCCGCTTTCAAAGTCGACGAAAAAAGCGTTCTTCTGCCCACCCCCTATAGACGCTTGGAACGCGTGTGGCCGCTAGTGGGAAAGTATGAACGCAGCCTTAGTGGGTACGTCACATTTACCAGGATACCCAGACATGCAGCTGAATCGTTCCCCATGTGGCGAATGACAAATTCCCTCAGCGCAGGCCTACGTTCGGCGTACTTGCAATCATCGTTTACAATCGCCCGCCAGTGAACGACGTAGCTAACTACTTCAAACTTTGGATTAGCTCTTTTCGTATTGTATCCTGTTTCACAATCACCGGAACCAATCAACACTCTAGAACGTTAGTAGTGCGGTGCATGGATACGCAGATGTTCAAAGTGCAGAAAGGCAATTGCAATACATATGAGCTTCCTTGCAGTTGTAATTACTTCTGAAAAGGATTGAGCAGAGTTCCCCGTTGTTTGTCTATTCCATGACCGCGGAAATCTGTTTTACTCCAAATTAAAGATGATTGCGAGTGAAAAGTTGGGTCTTTATCTCTGAATTTTTGAGATGTAAGGTGGCACTATTTACCCTGACCGACTTTTTTCTCCGTGGACAGATTTGGCTCAAATGTTGTCTCCTAGGGTAGTTTGACCTCCTGAATACGAATATCACATTCACTTGACCTGAAACGTCCTGGCGCCCGCGCCACAGGCGCCAGTGATTTGGGGTAATTTGGCGCCAGCGCCTGTAGGGCGGGCGCCAGGAGGTTTCGGGCCAAGCAAACTCGTTATTCGTCTAGAGGTCAGACTACCCCTGGGAACAAGTTTTCAGCGAATTTGGTGATTTAGGGTACCGGCCTGTTTTTGGAGGACTGCGGCAGTAAAGGGTAAATAGTGCCTATAAGGTTTTGATGGAGGCCTTCATAACCCAGTGAACTATTGTCCATGTGAATAGGATGAGAGAGTACCACACCTGGTACCAAAAGAAAACAAACTAGGGGTGTCTTGAAGGAAGAGCAAGTGTGGTTTGTTCCGCCTCTACTCATAGTCAGACTTCCTCTTCTTCCTGACATTCTTATCCAACTGTTGTCGGGTAAACCTCTTTGACCAAAGCTTTCCTACTGTCCTGGTTCCATGCGTTGGCTGGAGGCGAGCCAACAGCACTCATATTCATCTTCAGGGGGTTGTCCACCGGCGAAGATGATCTTCCAGCGCATTCGGATACATTATCAGTAGCTCTCCATTACCAGCGGAGACTAGATGCGGCGAGGGGGTTGGCAATCACTGGACCTTCATCTTGTCTTCGACGGTTTCGTTTCTGATTCGGTGGAGTCGTGTATGTGGCAGGCTCCATCGTAGCATTCCCATCTCAACAACACCGCAGGCTCCTATTTCATTGGCCGTCATCTGCTTCATCTTGGCTCCATGCATGGCGACTGGTTTCACGACTGAAGTGTAGATCAGTGTTTACCATCACTATTCCCTTTTCGCTGAGGACACCAGTAACAGTTGTTCCATGCAGCGTTGATTCTTGCAGCTGTGTCGGCCTCGGCATCTCCATTCGCCGCTAGTGTAGATCCGAGGCACGGTGTAGCAGTGGACCACGACTGGCGAAGAAGTTGCCGTGGTGTATTGTATTGAGCCTGCGTCTGTGCTTGGCCAGCTCATTCTTCCAGCGACTGACGCGTCGCTCTTATTTTTTCTGAATCGTCAATAAACAGTACGTCGTCAGCATAGCAGAGTACAGTCGTGATCCCTCAGACTGGCCATCCGTAATTGCGTACTTCACTGGGACGCGACGGCGGCTGCAGTAGGAGTGGCGATCGATGCTGCATGATCAGCTGATTTCAGCGATTAATTTTTCTATTTTGCCTGTTATTCTGCTAACTAGAAGGAAAAGTGAGTTCATATTATTTACTCTAATTTAAGGTTTTATTGTATATTTTGCTTTCAGTCGCTATTTGACTGCAGTGACGGTGTTTTTACCCACTTTTTGATTTTGTTTAGGTTTTTTTGTACTAATGAGGACACATAACGACACTGCCATGGAGAACAGTCCAACATTCAAAGCACAAACAAAAAAACCTAAACAAAATCAAAAAGTGGGTAAAAACACCGTCACTGCAGTCAAATAGCGACTGAAAGCAAAATATACAATAAAACCTCAAATTAGAGTAAATAATATGAACTCACTTTTCCTTCTAGTTAGCAGAATAACAGGCAAAATAGAAAAATTAATCGCTGAAATCAGGTGATCATGCAGCATCGATCGCCACTCCTACTGCAGCCGCCGTCGCGTCCCAGTGAAGTACGCAATTACGGATGGCCAGTCTGAGGGATCACGACTGTACCTCGTAGCGTAATCCATGCAGAGAACGAGAACGAACAACATTTGCAGTGGCAAAAGAGCCGATCCTGTTGAACTCCAACAGCAACCGGAAACTGTGGAGTATCTTCAACAAACGTCCGGATAGAGGTGGTATAATTCATACAGGTCGACTGCACTGCT